TTCTCTCAGAATTTAACAAAGTAGTAATGTAATATTATCAGATCCGCGGACATGATTGCTATAGCATTCATTTTTAGTCCAGTCATTTAAGCTTAAATTAGGTAAGAATCTCGGAATTCCAGATACCCAGCTGTAAGTCTCAAAACCTACATATGGTAGGGTGTCAATACCATATGTAGGTTTTGAGACAACTTTAGGGTGTCAATATACAAGTATTTACAGACTTACAGCTGGGTATCTCGAATTCTGAGGTAAACTTATTAAAATGTCTGGACTATTTCATTGTGATGCTGAATGACGTGAATGCTATAGCATTCACATTTTAAAATCAATTTTGTTTTTATCAATTATTTATTTTGTTAATTAGTTATCATACCTGTGATAACTGATTCGTTAGGTATTTTAGCATTATCTTATCTTTTTCCGTAGTCACTAATTAGCTTGGGCAAGCAAATTGCTATAGCATCCATGGTATATAACGATTAAAATATGATAATCTGACTACACTTATAAGTTCAATCAAATTTCGGATATTACAACTAATACAAAAATAAAATGACTGTAATATTAATCAAGTGTTAATAATTTCATTTTATAGATTAAAATCTGGTTTCAAAACCGACGCACCAAGTGGAAAAGAAAATACACAAACGATGTAGAAATCTTAGCCCAGCAGTATTACAGTTCACTAGGATATCTAGCACCCCGACCAATGTTCGTAGGAGATCGATTATGGCTATTCAACGCATCAGGTCCTCCGATTCAGACTCAAGTACCAACTCTAGCAACTCAAATACCTCAAATACCCCAAATGCCTCAGAATATATACGATTTTCAACAAGAACCGATTAGAAACATAAATCGATTTCAAAGTTGCCCACAAATTAATTTGCACCGAAGCACCTCAAGAAACCAGCACTATCCTGTTGTTGACGATAAACTACGCATGGAACGAGATTCTTAAGACAATCAAATTTTTACTACCATTAGCTGAGGCCTATTAACATATTTTCTTATTTTTTATGTAATACAAGAGCAAAATCCAGATCTACATAGGAACAACCAGTGAAGTTTGTTTTAAAACTTTTTAACCATCGAAGAAGATAATTACACATAGATTTCCATATATGCTTAGAATTATTACTTAAATATTCATTATAACCTATTGTGGCAGAAAAATTGTATAAGTATAACTAAAATATAATTATAATTTAACAACCAAAATATGTATACATATATAGGAAAAATACAGACAAAATGGCACGGTGGGCCTTATATAAAAATCACAATCCTGTCAGATGTTGAGCGTCATTGTCACAGTTTTGCCAAAGTGATCTGTTTGAATGTGTATCACGCCTTCAAAAGTTATTTTTGAAGATGCTTTTGTCATGTTTTTTTGGAATTATTGTTATTTGTAATTATTTCTATTACAATCAATAAACTTATACCAATACTAGTTATTTGTATCAATTTCATTGCAACTATCAGGTGTTTGATAGGATTTTAATCATTCATTCATTTTTGTTCACTTTCAAACCAAATGACTAATACAATGGACAAAATGACATAGTACTATTTTGCAAGCACTACAGATTAGTTCATTTAAAGCCAATAAGGTCAAAGGTTATTGGCTCTTAATTTCTGCTGTAACTACATCTAAAACAGTCCGAAGACTTCTTTTTCCGTTCTGAGCCCAACAATAGCTATTTCTGATGTATGATTTGTTCTCTTTGGGCTCATGATTCATATGCTGATGACCACAGAGTACCGAACGATTTATTTGTGAACAGCCTTCTTACAAATTTGCATCTCACTATGTTTTTAGCTTATATGTCATTTTGTGCATACTATATAAACAATATGGTTTTTGTAATCAGTTGCATTTTTCCTTAATAAATATGTTATTATAGTTTCAACCTAATTAGGGTGAATTGGTACATAAGTTGTTTATAGATAGAAAAGTATCTTATTATACATGTGACCTAAAAAGAAAAGGTTGACACTTTCTTAGAAATATCACATAACAATATTTAAAACAAAGTGAATAAAGTACATAGTAATTATGTTAAAAAGAATAATTACAAAAACAATATGTCCATTCATTTCATTATGGTCCAATTGCAGCTATAGGTCAATCAGAATATAATTTGGCATAGTGTGTTTGCTATACCAAACTATTTCTCTCATGAATAGACCTAGTGTCCGGATGTTGATGTTGTTGCAATCCCTATATTTGAAGTGAAATTCCCCAGTGAGCTTCTTTGTGCTGTCGATAATATATGTACATTAGTCTATTCATGTATGTACTTTGTAGAACAGTAGTGCTTTGTCAGTGGGTCTCTCGATTCGTCTAAATAAGTGTCCGGATGTTGATGTTGTTGCAATCCCTATATTTGAAGTGAAATTCCCCAGTGAGCTTCTTTGTGCTGTCGATATTATATGTACATTAGTCAATTCATGTATGTACTTTGTAGAACAGTAGTGCTTTGTCAGTGGGTCTCTTGATTCGTCTAAATAAGTGTCCGGATGTTGATGTTGTTGCAATCCCTATATTTGAAGTGAAATTCCCCAGTGAGCTTCTTTGTGCTGTCGATATTATATGTACATTAGTCAATTCATGTATGTACATTGTAGAACAGTAGTGCCTTGTCAGTGGGTCTCTCGATTCGTCTAAATAAGTGTCCGGATGATGATGTTGTTGCAATCCCTATATTTGAAATGAAATTCCCCAGTGGGCTTCTTAGTGCTGTCAATATTATAGGTACATTAGTCTATTCATGTATGTACTTTGTAGAACAGTAGTGCCTTGTCAGTGAGTCTCTCGATACGTCTAAATAAGTGTCCGGATGCTGATGTTGTTGCAATCCCTATATTTAAAGTAAAATTCCCCAGTGGGCTTCTTTGTGCTGTCCATATTATAGGTACATTAGACTATTCATGTATGTACTTTGTAGAACAGTAGTGCCTTGTCAGTGGGTCTCTCGATTGGTCTAAATAAGTGTCCGGATGTTGATGTTGTTGCAATCCCTATATTTGAGGTAAAAATTCCCAGTGGGCTTCTTTACCCTGTTGATATTATAGATACATTAGTCTATTCATGTATGTATTTTGTAGAATAGTAGTGCCTTGTCAGTGGGTCTCTCGATTTATCGAAATATTTAACATATTTATTTTGAGGATTTTATGCCATTTATTCTATTACGCAATTCATTCCAGAGACAAAAAAAAATCTAGCCTTTCATTGTCTTATATTGTTGCACCTTCATATTGTCTAGTATAGTTCCAGTGCCTTGTTCTGAATGATCTGTAGTCTCCATAAGTTAGTCTTTGTTGTCGCATTTCATACAAGAGCTGAGTACAACAGTACTGGTCTAATTAATATCAGGTATAGAGTCAATTTATTTTTCACTCTCAGTGGGCTTTTATTCTGACTTAATTATAAGACTGTGTTACTGGTAGTCAATGAACCAAAGATGAGTGAAAACGATCGAGACAGTTTATAATACCAAAAAATGAATAAATATCATATCAAAAAACAAAACATGTCATTTTGTCCATAGTTTCCCTATATAAAAAAAAATTTAACGCATGTACCTACATCATAGACCTTATAATACCTGGACTGCCGTACAAGTGCAAAAATGTCTCAAAACATAAAAATACGATAGTGACGTCATCAGGTGAACAAGCGTTGCGGAGAACCGTCGAATACTCGCGATTGCTTAAATGTCGTTTGTTACAAGTTTGATTAGATGAAATTCTATTATTGCAAGTTTCTCTGTAGATATATTTTAAGTATACAATTAAATATGCATTAATAATTAATTGAATATCAGTTACACAATAACCATGTATCGATTACATGCACAGAGATGCATTCTGATCTTCTAGGTTCTAGAAAAGTATATTGAAATATTGATTGTAAAAGAGATGAAGAAATAAGGAAATGTAAACAAAAATTATGATTTTTGATTGAAATGGAAAATTTTATAACATTTGAATTAAACGTAAACCATTTCTTATATTTGGAAAGAATTGAAAAAATGTGCAAGCCCAAAAATACCCAATTTTTTGATAATAAAACTTTTGTAATCTTTTTTGTACTTTATATCCGATGAATTTCGAATAATTTGTTCTATTAATAAACATAAATTGAACATTTCATCTGAGGGATATGAAAGGCAACCAAAAAATTTTATTTCCTTTCTTGTTAAAGACCTGACATATAACATTCATTTCATGTTTTGACACTTTTGAACATGGGAAATGTATGAAGACTAGCAGTCCATGTAATAAGGTCTATGACCTAAATGAACAATAAAACCCTATATCAAACTTCAACAAACGTTTAAAACTAACTATTAATTAGATATTTAGCAAAGGTTTATAAATATTGCATGTTTTATCTGCTTGCAGCCTGCTAAATCATTTTAAAATCAATATAAAAATAAAAATATCTTCATAGCAATAATTTTGTTGCTATGGAGACATGTCAAGGTGATAGTATCTTAATTTAAACTGATTATTAAAACATTAAAGAAGTTTTGTTAAATTTACATTTTTGATATTCATATACTAAATCAGAACCTTATGCATTATATTAGTTATGAAGCATAAGTAAAACATTTCAAAATATTTAAAATATTTGGAAATGCGCTATGAAAGAGATCCTCAAACATATACTTTATTACAAATAATTAAGAAATATTATTAATGTTTTAATATATCATTAAAACATTGTATTAAAAAATTATGATCATACTTGACCAAATTAAATTTAAAATTCATGTTTAAACTTGAGACATTGAATCATCTGTTCATCTAAAATCAATTATCATAACAAACTTACATTAATTATTCAATCCAAGTACGTTTTATTATAAACTATAGCAAACATAATAAATACTAATGTATATATATATTTGAATATTATAATTTGATAATATTTAAACAAATGATTTGAAAACTTTATACAAAATATACATGATAATGATACCCGTTAATAATATTAATGATATTTGCTTAGATTTTGTTCATTATTTACAGTAAACAACACTTATGGCTCAATTTATCGTACAGTTAACCCTTGCTCTCAATTTTGAAGAACAGAAAGTTCAATTGTAATTAAACACTTTACAATTTAAATATAAAACGTTAAAATATGTACAAAATCATAGGTCACCAACTCATAATGTAGTCAATGGCTTTACCTATTAATCCAACATCATTCTTCCTCTTCTTGGCACGTTGTACTATTGGAGGTGATCTATTCGCAGTCTGAGACATATGCCTTAATCTTTCCAATTTAGCTTTACTTTCATAATCAATATTTCCACTAAAATGAAATAACATATTGATTACTCCCATCAATACTCAATGTTTACAATGTATTATATGAACACAAATGAGTTTTCAAGATTTTACAGATAATTCATCGCTTTTACTATGAAGGAATTTTAAGATTTTAATTGGTATCGCATTCGGGTATAAAATAGTGACAAATTAAAATATGTGATTACAGAAATGTGAGTTAACAGTACTTAAGTTCATATCTTGATAAAAGATTTAGTTTACCATTTATACTAAAAGCATATACTGCATGTTAGTTCATTAAAATAAATACCTAATATATGGTATGAATAGAACAAAATTTATAGTGTAATTATATTACTGATCCACAAATGTTTAAAATTTATATATAAGGCCTTGCCCAATAAAAGAAAATAAAGCCAAATATATCAATTTTAAACTTCTAATAACTATTCCTAATCCTAAATAATTATATATCCTAAATAATAAACTTATTATAATATTATAATCATTCAACTTACATAGTTGACACATCCTGACCCACCAGTTCAGGATTATCACATAACATAACTCCAATAATGATACCAGGTTTAAATAAATATCCATTGTAAGTGAGAACTTGGCGTGCTTCTAATCGTGACGCATATTTTAAACAAAGGAAATTACAATCTGGCTTCACGTATTTGTCTAAAATTATTTTTCAAAAAATGATAGTTTAGAAAACTAAATACTGATCCTTATCATAAAGTTTCAATAAAAATCCATCGGTTAAATGCAGTAATTTTCAGGAAGTTTGCATGCACAATAAACACATTTGCTAAAATTATAGAACTAATCAAAATTTTAAATCAATGTTGCAACAAATAATCTATCTGTAATGTTATTTGTATGTCTCTTATTATATGATTAATAATATCAAACTATGAATTAATAGAATTACCTATAAAGTTTCCAACACTTTGGAAAAAACTAGCTATTTCCATATGCATCTCAGGCATAAAGCCAAAAATTGTCACCCAGAATTCTTGTTCTATAAATCTACTAGAATTATAATTTGAATTACTATTATAAGTTAAATTATTACTTCCAATCGATGTATCATATGTCGACTGAAAAGTTGTCTCATTATAAGGATATGGTCTTTTTGAACCATAAGCAGACGAATTTATATTATTGCTATTGTTAAATACTTCAGCTGCCGACATTTGTGAATTCGTAAACTGTGGAGTTTTATATGCCACACTTGTGTTGTTCAAATTGAATTGGTATGGCATGGATGACGTATTTAATGCCGAGTTACATTCAGGACTATACATACTCCTATTAGCATCTTTCTGATTAGAAATGACTGAAAAGTTACTTTCAGGACTATATATACTTCTATTAGTGTCTTTATGATTAGAAGTGACTGAAAATTTATTTTCAGGACTATATATACTTCTATTAGTGTCTTTATGATTAGAAGCCCCCTCTCGTTTTAGTAGAGAATCAGGAGTAAAAGCATCTGGAGGTAATTTGTATGTTGTGGGCATATCATCAAAGAGGTCAATGATAGGAGGTCCGAACTTTATGGCAGATACATTTTTCTGCTTGTCATACTCATTATTTACACTACTCGACAATGATGATGGACCTTTTATATTACCTGAAAATCGTTTTTAATGTTAACAATGATAATAAGCATATTAATCTATCAAACAAATACAAATCACAAAGCATAAACTTTAGATTGAAATTCCAAGTTAAAATAAATTAACAATCTAATTTTACACTATATTTCTTATTTAATACATAATCTTCAAATTCAAAAATATGTTATTATTATTATAAGAATAATTCAATAAACAGTGCTCACCAAACGTTAGGCTGCGATCTTGTACAGGTGACAATCTATTTCTCCTAGGTGTCTGAGAAAAGCTATTGTCGCCAAGAAGAAAGCATGGCAAATATTGTTCAGGTGCTGGACTGTTAGAAGGGCTACCTAATGTCATCGGCTCCATTTTAATAAAATACTATTTACACTTATCAACAAAATAAAATATAAAATTCATTAAAATAATTGAGCATCAAAAGCAAGCCTAACTTAACCTAAATGAATGCATCACCCGCGCAAAACGTTGGTGCACGCAAAACATTTGACATATGAAATTGACATATGAAATCTGTAATGTCAGGATTGCCATAACTGAAAACACACTTTCCGTTGAATTTACAACGTTACATATTTAAATATTAATGTTATAAATTCAAAAACTTTAATAAAGCTACGTATTCAATTTTTGCAAATAAAATTACAACTTATTTAAAAATATAAATAATAAAAATATATGATAACTAAGCAAACAGTATAGCTTCATTATTAAGTAAACTAAAAAAATCAATACTATTAAAACGAATTCAGAATTTTATTCGTAACAAAGAGTAATTGCAAATTACTCTTTGCTACGAATCTGCAAATTACTCTTTGCTCTGAAAACACACTTTCCGTTGAATTTACAACGTTACATATTTAAATATTAATGTTATAAATTCAAAAACTTTAATAAAGCTACGTATTCAATTTTTGCAAATAAAATTACAACTTATTTAAAAATATAAATAATAAAAATATATGATAACTAAGCAAACAGTATAGCTTCATTATTAAGTAAACTAAAAAAATCAATACTATTAAAACGAATTCAGAATTTTATTCGTAACAAAGAGTAATTGCAAATTATATGTAAGGAAACAAACAACTGTAGTTTTGCATTTAAAAGTCTCATTCTCTCCTTTCTTCAATCTTCAATGAAATGAAGTTTATGAAACTTAGCAATCCCATTTAAAGTGCTTATTGTTTGTATTATCTTTTAAATAAATAAATAACAGTTTTATTGGTAAGCAATCTGCCATCTTAAATGAAGTAGCATAGTAAAATTTGCATAAAAATAAGTGGACTTCCTTATTTATGAGGATCCACCTTTGTTATATATGTACTTTTTATTTTCACCAATTAATTTTATGTAGATTAATGCAACCAACGTATTTGCAAGCTCTTACAAAAAGTTGCAATTAAATCATAACTTGAGTAACAGCATAAATATTTATCTTGAAAATTAACAAAAACAACATTAAAATTCTTTTAAATCTTTTTTTTTATTAACAATAAATGAATAAATCAAGCCTAATTATTTATATTTGAATTAACTACATCGAACGAAAATATTCTCTATTTCCTTTAGCTCTTGGAACTAATATATTAGTTCCAAATTACGTGTAATTAATCCAAATCATAAAAAAATAAACCTGATATAAATCTCACAATATACTTAAATTATTAAATGTAATATTTTTAAAATAAATACAGAAAAATAACATGGAATTATTGGTTGCAGACATCAATGAAACAATATTAATTGAAATACTTAAAAATATAATCAATATAAATAAAACTTGTGCTCAACAATCACATTGCAAAGCATGATGAAATCATTGATCATACAAGGTTTTTCATTATAAATATTTACAAATGAGTTTTATAAATGTTTCTCATCAATAATAGCTGAACTAAAATTATAAAACTATTTATACAAAATATCCTCACAGCATCACTAGAAGTTAATCGGTTTTCCAAAGTAGCCAGCCAAATTTGCTTCTCGAAGAGCTTCAGCACATGTCTGAAAAGAATTCAATTATTGAATCATGTTGTAAACAAAGTAATAAATGCTTTGAAAAAGTATTGTAAAAATTAAAAATACTATGAAAAATAAATGCACAAATAAATAAACTTTTGGCAAAATATTCTCTGCATAGAAAAAAAAATGAAAAAACAAATGTAGAATAATTCTTACAGGATGCGCATGGCACACTCTAGCAATGTCTTCACAAGAGGCTCCGTATTCCATAGCTAGAACAGCTTCATTGATCAATTCACCTGCAGACTAAAAATGGAAAATAATTCAAAATGTATAATTAAGAAAAGCAATTTTCATTTTAAGGTTTAAATATTTAAATTAGTAATAAAGATCCATGTTACACTTACTGGTCCAATAATGTGTGTTCCAAGAATTTTATCTGTAGATTTTTCTGCTAGTACTTTAACAAATCCATCAACATCATTATTTGTTTTCGCTCTGGAGTTAGCCATGAATGGGAATTTGCCTATTTTATAATCTATGCCCTAAAAATAAAAGATCAAGATTTAAGAAAAAAAAAAAAACTAATAAGCATCTTCAAACCAATTTTAAAATATGCAACTAATTAGAATCATTATCACAGCATCAAATAATATTTTGTAAAGGAACCAGTGAATTTCAGTAAATGTAAGAGAAGAAACAATATTATAATATCAATTTAACATACCTCCTTTTTAAGATCCTCCTCACTTTTGCCAACCCAGCCGACCTCAGGGTGGGTATAAATGACACTAGGAACACAATTGTAGTCGATATGTACTGGATAACCATTCATTCCTTCAACACAAACAATGCCCTCATCTTCTGCCTTGTGTGCTAACATGGGACCGTGAATACAGTCACCAATTGCGAATACACTATAATAATAATGAAACATTTAAAATACATTCATTTGTATCAATGTTATATATTTTTTCTTTCCTAATAATGTCCAATTAAACCAAATTAATATATTTGTCTACCTTGGGCAAACTGTTTGGAATTTTCCATTAACTGGTATGCGTCCTTTATCATCTTTCACAATTCCTATTTCTTCCAGTCCCAGTCTTTCAGTATATGGCCTGCGTCCAACAGATACCAATAAGACTTCACATTCCAACTAAAATGAAAGTATAATCTAATTTATCATATGATATTGGCTACATTCTAGTAAATTTAAATATGTATACAGATAAGACAATATTATCAAATGTATAAAATTCATAGAATCAGATTATCTTTAAGATTAAATTTAGATTGTTGTAAAAGGCTTGTAAAAAAACAGATACAAATTATGCATAATCATATAAAATTTGATGTGTCAAAATATTTTGAATTTTGTTGAAACATATACTAGTAAAACAATTGATTATAAATTAGTGTTTTATTCGATTATTAACAACAATTACTTACTGTTTCCTTTTTACTATTATCTTTGACATCCTCAACTTCTACTTTGATGACATTTCCTTCTTTTTTAGCACTCATAACTTTAGTTCCTAGTTTGAAGTTAAGTCCTTGCTTAGTTAAAACCTTTTGGAAAGTCTTGGCAACTTCTCCATCAATTCCTGCTCCACCAATAGAAGTCATAAACTCCACAGCAGTCACTTGAGAACCCAGTCTACTCCAAACAGATCCCTAAAACAAATAATCAGCTTCATGAGTATAATATACATTTTTTGAAGTAAAACTTCTTTAGGCGCGACTAGGGTGTAAATCCGCACAACAGCAACGGAAATTGCGTTACGCCCTAACTGTACGTCATTTGCTCTCGATGAAATCATTTCAATACGGGTCGACTGTGATTAGTCGTCGTGTATGTGAAAAGAGATCTGTCGTTGTATGCGTATCGGCATCAACGTTGTATGAGTACCGATATCAAGAAAGAAATCGGCATAAATAAATAAACATTTTAAAGTTACATCGTAGTACAAATCTTGATTTAATGAAAAATGCCTGAATCAGAAGAATATTTTACTCTGTTCCTTGAAAATAATGAAACAAATTAAACATTTGTGGCGAATACTAAACGAAAGTTTATTGATAAAAAATTATTTCTTTATTATTCATAGTTTCTATAAATCTTTGAGGTTATCAAAATGAAAAATATTTTTTAGGCAAGACAGATATTACAGCTGTTCAAATAATGAGATTATATCGCCAGCAAAAAAGTAAAAAAAATACAATCAATCAATGAATGCGTGTTCATTTTAATTACATAAAGTTCTTCAAACACAATTACATGATGAGTAAAGTTGCAAAAACAATATTTGTTTTAAATATGTTAAATTTACATGTTTAACATAATCCACTGTGTGAACGATTATAGAATTTATTAATCAGCAATAACTTCATTTCTCATTTCTAAATGCTAATTACAATGACAAACCGATCATGTCATATTTGAAGTATGACTTAAATTATCTTATTGTTTTTAAATATTATACATATCTTTAATGCTATTATAAATATATAATTTATAATTTATCGTTATATAAATGTGTATAATGGTTGACAATAATAAATGTGTGCAGCACAAGTGTTACCATATTATCAATAAACATTATTCAAAATTGTTATATGATGTATTTATTTTTACCTAAATGTCATTTTGTACAATAGCAAATAAGTTTCACTTCAATCCCGTAAGAACCTTACACACACACTTCGCCCGTTTCATTTAAATTAAATAAGAGATGATTAAACATAATATCTTACCAGTTCCAAGCCAATGACTCCTGCACCAATTACAACCATTCTTTTTGGTACTTCTTCCAAAGACAGTGCTCCGGTACTGGATACAATACATTTTTCATCAATCTGCAAAGTTAAATGAATATATAATTGTTAATAGTTAAATATTGTTACTGAATAGTTATTACTGTTATTCCGGGGAATGGTGTGACTTCTGATCCAGTAGCAATAAGAATGTTCTTTGTTTTTACTACTTCTGTGGTACCATCATTTTTGGTAGCAGTGACTTCATTAGGAGAGGTAATCGTACCATGACCATGGATTAAGTCAACCTACATAAAAAATAGATAATAAATTTATGATGTGAAACTAAAAAATATTCATTTTCTGAATATAAGTATTAATTAAAAACTTATTAGTGCAACTTACTCAAACTTGAACTATTAGATTCCAATATAATTATTCTCTCAAAGTTATTTTCATATAGCCACATAAAATATATTTACCTTATTCTTCTTAAATAATTGTGCAATGCCGCCAGTCAATTGTTTAACTGCTGTAAGTTTCGTTCCCATAAGTGTGGGTAAATCGAGTTGTACACCAGAAACTATTGTTCCTCGTTTTGCTAATTCACCCGAATGTGCCATATGATAATAGTGAGAATTATTGAGAAGGGCCTAAAATATTTTTTCTCTATAATCACAAAATGTAACATAAGTAAAACAAAACATACCTACATACCTTACTTGGAATGCATCCTACATTAAGGCAAGTTCCACCTAATGTAGGGTTCTTTTCAATACTGACGGTCTGAAAAGAAAATAGAATTGGTAATAAAATTAGTCAAACTTATTATGAATCACCTATTGTTATAAGTTTACAAATAGTATTGAATAGAATAGAGGCTTAAAACCTTCTCATTGATGCATAAGAAGTTCTTTATTTTAAAATTATAATTTCATGATTTAGCTCGACATAAATGATCACATTTAATAATTATATTTCATAATATTAGGTTGTTCGGAAAGTAACTTCGTTTTTTATAGACATGTTGGCATGTAATAATTTTCATACAATAAACAATATAAGTAAAACAAAACATACCTACATACCTTACTTGGAATGCATCCTACATTAAGGCAAGTTCCACCTAATGTAGGTTCTTTCAATACTGACGGTCTGAAAAGAAAATAGAATTTGTAATAAAATTAGTCAAACTTATTATGAATCACCTATTGTTATAAGTTTCAACATAGTATTGAATAGAATAGAGGCTTAAAACTTCTCATTGATGCATAAGAAGTTCTTTATTTTAAAATTATAATTTCATGATTTAGCTCGACATAAATGATCACATTTAATAATTATATTTCATAATATTAGGTTGTTCGGAAAGTAACTTCGTTTTTTATAGACATGTTGGCATGTAATAATTTTCATACAATAAACAAATACTTTAATAAATTATGTATTAACAGTTTTGATCGAACCGCATTTATTATCAGAAAACTGATCAAAGTGCTTTTTAACCTCCTCATTTGAGGTGAAGGTTTTACCGCCTAAAAATTTGAGTGACCGAAACAAATAATGGTCCGGTTATGGCAGGTCTAGAGACTGTGATGAATGTGGCATTATGTCCCATTACCCATACAACTTTATGTGAGGTCTTGGGTCGTCATGATACAATACTATACCGTGCTTATGGGTTAATTCTGACCTTTTCTATCAAAGTATATCATTTAGTTATTCCAGCTGATGACATAAGACATCCAAATTAACCGTTATGTTATCCTAAAAAAGCTGAAAAATTAACGACTCCTTTAAAATCTTACCAAACATACTGCATAACCTTTTTCTGGAAAATTTCAGCTTTACGCCTGTTTTGAGTAGATTCTTATTTTTTGTTTCATGGGCAATTGCGTATATTGTATTCTTTACATCCCATTTGACATTCCTAGTGATAATTTGCTTCAAAACCTGATAATTTTCAGGGCTTTTCAAAGGCGAATCACAGATGCTAGTGCAACGACACAGGTTTCTTTCTATGAGAACCATACATTCATTTTCGAGGAAAATCCCAGACCAAAACATAAACTGTTAAATTTGATAAATTTGAACTCAATGGGATTTCATGTATTGTTATTCACCGATCAGCATCAATTAAATCCTTTCTCATGTCTTTATCAGCTTCATCCCTACTTCTTGGATGTGATGCATCTTGGACATCAAAATACCAGGAATAAAATTTAGAAAATTAGTTTTGGCACTGTTGTATTATCAATACATCATTTCCATACACATGGATCAACTTAACTTTGATTTAAACAGTATTTTAACCATTTTTATAGCAAAAGAGTAAAATATGATGAAAATGCTGCTTAATTCTTTTCGTATTCAAAATGGTACCAACCAAAAACTACAGCGTGTAACTGATTAGAATTTTTTACACACAGACCTCAAAATATAAGCTTTCAAATCATATAATAATTATAAGGCTTAAGTTAATAAATTTAGGTTCAAAATAATATAGTTAAAACCTAAGTGGTAAAAAAACGAACTGACTTTCCGAACAACCTTATGTGTGTAATGTAAAGCTGTCAGTGTCAAACTAAATCATATTCACTAGGATATTGTTTCATTGCAAAAGTATGAATAAGAAGTAATACAGAGAACAAATACCAAGGACCATTTTTTTTTTATTAATGAAATAGACTCACTTTCATGCCCAGTTGGGCTGCTTTTATTGCTGCTACATGTCTTAAAGGTGAGCTCCGCAACTTTAAATTAAAAATACCAATAAACTTAAATTTTCTCCTACATTATAGTAATGAAAGTTGACACATTGCATATAATAAGAGGGTTTTCTTCACTCTTAAGCACACAAACACTAACGCAAATCGACATATTTTATAATTCCAGTAAAGCACTTGAAGGATTGATAAAAGGCTTCAAAGAGAGACTTCAAAGTCATAACAATAGGGTTATGTTACATAATTTTTATAAACACTTAACAATGTTACGTGAAGCAAATTCCAAACGGATAATGTATTATAAAACAAACCTTTAATGGAGTGGATAAATAATTACAAACGTTTGAAATCATTTTGCAGTACACCTTTACTCAATTAGTTCGAAAAACGGCTCTCGATCGAGAGCGAGTCGGTAAAGAGGGCAACTTTAACTCAAAATTGAAACATCTGCAATCGTCGAATGACAATGACAGCTCGCGTGCGCAATTGTGCAAGCCATCTGATGGCAACCTTGACATCTAACACTACAATCTGAAATCGGTGGCACAGATTGATAAGGAATTTTGGCTTTCAACATTATTATAGAAATATATAAGAACGTTATGCACAAAATGTATCAGACATAGATAAATAAGCATCAAAATTCTACGTTAGAAATATTATCACAAATTACAATCAAAGACGCAAACAATACAAAAAAAAACCTAACCAATTGGTACCGGAAGTAACATCGTAACGGTCCGATGTGCGAAAATAACAAAATCTGTTTAGTTTCAATTTTTTATTTCAAAACAAACTAGTGGTGTATGGCACCGTTCCTTAAACCAAATAAATTGCTGGAACTTAATAAAAAATTCGAGGATTCGATTCGAGGTTTTCAAATAAATTATTATAAACACTCTGTAACATTGTCTAATATTTATAAGTATTATATAAAATGTATTGCAAAGTTAAAATTATTTATATAAAGTATATAAGTTAAAATCTGTATTATTTTCGAAATACAAAAAATTTTTTTTGAAATATTTTTTTTTCCAAAAGCAATTCTTTTGCCAACACAAGCAGAAAGTTCTTTGACTCATTCAAATCAGATGCTTAGTTCTCTCAAATACTGCCATTTTTTGTACATTTAGCTCCGTATCTTCCAAACGGCTGGACCTGTCTTTGCCAAAAACTAATCACCACTTCTCCCCATCATTACGAATTGAATATTTTTTAGATCATTCAAATCAGATGCTCCGTTCTCTCAAAAACTCGATTTCTATTTTTTGCACTCTTTGCTTTGTATCTTCGTAACGGTCGGACCTGCCTTTGCCAGAAACTAATCAGCACATCTTCCTATCAATAGGAATCGAATGTTTTTTGAACCATTCAAATCGGTTGATCCGTGCGCCCGAAAACGTAGACAAAAATTGTATCCATACATACATACATGCACACACACCCATTTTTTTTCAAGTACGCCAAAATTTTCAGAAACCTTCAAAACGTAAGAAACGTAAAAACTTTCAATTTCGATTTTTGGGCGATTCCAATAACTTACCCTACGGGAATTTAAAAAAAATTAGTCAAAGAAACAAAAACATATATCATGGTGGAAGTTGTCACAGATAATTGCAGAACTTGCTATTTTTATTATCATAATTTCATAACGTTTATCCCTGAGACGATTCGCAAAAACTTCCTAATATGGGTATAAATAATAGACATAATCGAAACGAATTAAGATTGATCAACTTTCAAGATTATGACGATTGAATTTATAGTTATCACGATAACACGGCCCATTATTCCAAACGTTGATGAATTCTTATAATTAAACCACTTTTCTTAGACCTATAATATTTTAAGATGTTCATTAACACTATGAACTTTCTCATCATGTATCATACGATGCTTCACCAAAATTGCCAAAAAAAGTATTGAACAATTTATTATGTAGAAACGACCAACCAATCTTCACCAGAAACTAAATAGCACGATTCTGAACTGATGACATCTTTTTTGAATGATTTTTAGAATTTCAAAATCGGTTCAAAATTTTTGACGAAAACATGTACGGAATTTTTTGCATTTTTCTGCTAAATCTGTAAAACGACTCGGCAGATAGTCTCGCAAATTAATCAACGCACGTTCTACTCAAGTTTCTTCAAATGGCTATTAAATTTTTGAAATCAGTGCATCAAATTCTTACGTACATCAAAAAAAGTTGACAAATTGTTTCACACACCCAATTTTTCCAATTTTGATGTGAAACGATTCAGAATGTCTTAAAATGACAAGAAAACAAAATGATCAAATCGTATTATCAGGCAAAAACACAAACTGCTCTTTTGGAAATTTAATAATCTTACAATATGGAGTATTATAACAAACTAAAAATAAATAAGTAACAAAACAAAAGCAATAAAACGAGCAATTAATGTAGTAAATAGCTAAATCAAGTTCCATGTGCTACGATACATTACAAATCAAAACTGAGACAACAATGTAGTGCATAAAATAATATGGTAAAAGTATAAACTACTCTTTATCAAAAGAGAATAAAAATAAATACGAAACTCACACATATTATATCTATAGAATAGAAATTTTTCTGTTATTTGCAATCAATTGTAAAAATACATTGCAAACAGCTTATCAATTTCTAAATATCTACTTTGATATTCCACCTAAAATTTTATGATAAAGAAAACCGAACTCTACTCATAGTAGAAAATACATTAATGTGATTATTTTTTGAAGTATTTTTCATTTTGCAGAATACTGCTTCAGTCATGGAAGAAGCACCACTGCTCCAACAACTCGTTTTACATGTGTAAACCAAGATGGTTCCGAATTCTAAATGCATTCCAGGTGATTGCACAAGACGTAATTAGATATAAGTGTTGGAAGCACTTGCATTTCAAATATCATATCACCCCCACAATGACTACACTGACTAGGTTTAGAACTTTCCGCCAAATAACTCATCAAAAGCGGTGTACCTTCGCGGCAATATCTGAATGAATAATAAAATTATGACAGCATTAAATATTTTCAAAACTTAGTAAACTGTAAACAAGTTCCTGTGGTATATTTTTTTGCATCTAGAAATATAAGTGACTAGTGTTACCAAATAATCATATTCTATTTCCCGATAATAAATTTTAAGTATATAAAATCCAAACAAACCTTGGCAAGTTTTTAAATAATTTAATAAAAATTCATTTTGCTTGGATTTTTACTAAGCTACAAAAATTATTGTGAAATCTTCACCTAATTACTTGTCCTGGATTTTTTTGAATCCGCCTCAAAAAGTTGTGAAAGGTTATATCACCATGAGCTGGTCCACTTTTTTCATATTCCTCTAATTGTGATTGATCGTCTGGTGCGGCAACTTGAGCAAAAGCACCCACTGCATCTTCCGGACTACCAGGACTTCCTAAATTATCTATAACATACATGATAATCATATACTAAATCAAACATAATACATCAAAATAATAATTTGTAATTACATTCTTCATTTTTCATTTGATATTCATGTAAAAGCTCTTGGATATGATCAGATACAACTGAACTTTCTTCATTTTGCTCTTCGTCCACTGCAATAAAATATGATTCAAAAGCAAATGATGCCCATGATGTATCCTTGAATTTATTGATTTCAGCTATATCAGGAATCTGAACATAGGAAATGGAACATGAAAGCACTGAAAATCATTATTAATATAATTTGAACTTACACAATGCAACATTGCATAAATATCACACTGAGGAGCAACTGGTGAATCAATTGTTACTAATTCAGATTCATCTCCTTCAAGTTCAGCTGAGGCACTTGACGAATCAACTCGACCTGCCGCTCCACCACCTGATACAAAATATTTTTCAAAAACCATTTCATACAATTTGAGTTTAACTCAATGAATACCCTTAAGCAACAAAATTTTCATGCTGTAACAAACTCACCCTGAGCTCCAACATTAGCATTACGATCATCTATGACCATATTTCCTAAACTATGCTCAATACTGTCCGATTCCAATGAGCCACTCTCATCATCTTCATCAGAAATTCTAAATTAAAGATAGCTTATGATTAAAAAATATTGTAGTCAAATAATCAAAGATGACAAGAGTTAACAATTGAGATATTCTAATATTGATAAATCACACATCATTCCTCTTGAATGTATTATAGAAATTGGCATAATAATAAAAACTATAGATTGTTAATAGTCAATTATCTATATTACAAAATCACAATTATAAAAAAGAGATGAGCATGTATATTCAAAATACACAAGTAGTGTAAAAAGAATGGGTCATACTTCTCAGCCTATTTCTCAATATATGTATTAATAGTTTTGTGACGAATTTAGTTTCACTTTAACTAGTGTCCCTAATTACCACTGATTACTATTGATAATTCAAACTACCTCTGATTATTGTTGCCTTGAATAACATTTCCATTTTCTTCATCATTATTCTCACTTGGAGAGTTATTGGAATCCCAATCATCGGCAGAACTACACCAGGAAGAAATATCAGTTAAACCTTTCACAGAAAGATTGGAGGATGTTTTAGTTTGAGGACTTAGTCTCTCCTCTTGTGAAGCATCTAAAACTTGAGATCGAATGCATGTCCAGCTAAAAGAATAAAAGATCTTTGTAAATAATTTGATCAAACTCTATAAATTATTCTTGCAAGAAGAAAACTTGAGTTGAAAGAAACGACTTTAAACAAATAACACATAATGATACTAAACTTAGATTATTACAAAATACTTTAAAGAAAGGCACAAAAGAAAAAATTTGACACAATATTGTGCAATTTGTTCATGAGCTTTTACTTTATTTATATTTCATTTTTTATACCTCTGGGGTTGATTCCAGCAATGCGGATTAAAGCATCCAAACAAATATAATGTCCTATGATAAGGTGAACCATCTAAAGGTGCATATATTTGCAATACAAGCGGCCTCTCCAAACCACATAGGGCACATGGATAACGATTTGTAACACCTTTGATTGGCCAATCCTGAGAAAAAAATAATAAAATATTATCTGGCAGAAAAATTAACTTCGTTATTCATAATAATAATATTATGTGTAAAACATAAATACTATAGTTCTAAAAAAAGTGATCAAAAAAATGAACTGAAAATGTTATTCATAATATTAATATTAAAAGTATGCATAGCCCATAAATATTACATATAAATAAACAAAATAATAAAAATTTCTAGTTAAAAGAAAACTCAAAAATAATTTTTAAATGGAACTATAAAATACATAGTTACACACAAAATTAAAATTAAATGTATATACAAATTCTACATGTCGATGGCAATAGTGTAACATTTTGTTTATGGAATCATTGTATAAATTCTACACATCGATGGCAATAATGTATCATTTTGTTTATGGAATCATTGCATAAAAACTAATTAAAAATTAAAATTAAATGTATATGAAAATTCTACACATCGATGGCAATAATGTATCATTTTGTTTATGAAATCATAGTAAAAAACTAACTAATTAAAAATTAAAATTAAATGTATATTCAAATTCTATACTCGATGGCAATAATGTATCATTTTGTTTATGGAATCATTGTATGAAAACTAATTAAAAATTAAAATTAAATGTATATACAAATTCTACACATCGATGGCAATAATGTATCATTTTGTTTATGAAATCATTGTATAAAAACTAATTAAAAATTTAAATTAAATGTATATACAAATTCTACACATTGATGGCAATAATGTACAATTTTGTTTATGAAATCATTGTATAAAAACTAATTAATTAAAAAGTAAACTTAAATGTATATACAAATTCTACACATCGATGGCAATAATGTATCATTTTGTTTATGAAACCATTGTAAAAAACTAATTAAAAATCAAAATTAAATGTATATACAAATTATACACACCAATGGCAATAATGTATCATTTAATTTATGAAATCATTGTATAAAAACTAACTAATTAAATATTAAAATTAAATGTATATACAAATTCTACACATCGATGGCAATAATGTATCATTTTGTTTATGGAATCATTGTATAAAAACTAATTAAAAATTAAAATTAAATATATATATACAAATTCTACACATCGATGGCAGTAATGTATCATTTTGTTCATGGAATCATTGTATAAAAACTAATTAAAAATTAAAATTAAATGTATGTACAAATTCTACACATCGATGGCAATAATGTATCATTTTGTTTATGAAATCATTGTAAAAAAACTATCTAATTAAAAATTAAAATTAAATGTATATACAAATTCTACACTTCGATGGCAATAATGTATCATTTTGTTTATGAAATCATTGTATAAAAACTAATTAAAAATGAAAATTAAATGTATATACAAATTCTGAGCATCGATGACAATAATGTATCATTTTGTTTATGAAATCATTGTATAAAAACTAATTAAAAATTAAAATTGAATGTGTATACAAATTCTACACATCGATGGCAATAATGTATCATTTTGTTTATGAAATCATTGTAAAAAAACTATCTAATTAAAAATTAAAATTAAATGTATATACAAATTCTACACTTCGATGGCAATAATGTATCATTTTGTTTATGAAATCATTGTATAAAAACTAATTAAAAATGAAAATTAAATGTATATACAAATTCTGATATCATTCTGAAATTAAATGTATATACAAATAATGTATCATTTTGTTTATGAAATCATTGTATAAAAACTAATTAAAAATTAAAATTGAATGTGTATACAAATTCTACACATCGATGGCAATAATGTATCATTTTGTTTAGGAAATCATTGTATAAAAACTAACTAAACATTTGTATCATTTTGTTTGTGGAATCATTGTATAAAAACTAACTAAAATCAAAATAATATGATATATAAATACATTTTACATAAAGATTAGAAACAACTTGAATGGTTATAAAAATTGATTTATGTCAATTTAAAAGACAAGACAAATGTGCTTAACCTCAAAAAATTTAATTTATTGTCAATATAAATAAAAACGCACACATTAAGATTTAAAAACTAAATAATTGTTTCAAAAATCACAGCTAAAACAACTGGATATATTTTGTCAAAAAAATCTGTACTATTATCTGTAATGAATAATTAGGTCGTGCTATTATCGATTGTCACACTATAGAACTAAAATAATACATATATAACTATAACAATATTATGAACAAAATTCACTCACAGCATAACCACCGATTTTATTTAAACAACTATTTAATAAAGATGCATGTTTATCACTTATATATTCATCTACATATCCTAAATAAACTCTATTATTATGTTTTGCCATGATGAACTGACGCGAGCAACTTCGACAGTGACCTACTGTTACCCGGACGGTTGAAGAAAAGTGACATCTATCATGGGGTAGGAGAACTATGTAAAATGGCTTTATTTTGTCATTTTCAATATAGATGTGGCCTGAAGTGCCATATTTACTCCTAAACATCCCCCTAAAATTTATAGTAATACCCTGTTTAACGCGGGAGTTACGTTTTCTCAAAGTAACGCGTAAAGCCAAACCGCGCTTAAAGGGGTCATTTTAACATGTTAGGAATGAAGTTAGGAGAAGATAACAAAAAATTGGTTATAATAACTCTGTTAATTTTTAATAAAAACTAGTGGTGTATGGCATCGTGCTGTAGGGGACGTCCATTAATCACGTGAGCGAGTTTTTAAGGATTTTTGGACCCCCCTCCCCCTTGGTGATCCATGGTGATATTCAGAATTACCCCCCTCCCCCACCAAACATCACATGTATTTTTAGTTACGCGAAAAAACTGTACAATTTTTGAATTTATTTAAAAATGTTTGAACTTTTTTAAAAAAATTAGTTAAAAAATAAGTACACGTGATACCCCAATATACCCCTCCTTTCCCTCGTAATATTTTTTAATTTTTTGTCAAACGCCCCCTCCCCCTGAAAACCTCACGTGATTAATAGGAAAATTGCTTAAGGCAAATTGCTGGAACATTCTATACCAAAAATTAATCTTTTTAAACTTTGAAAAAAATTGATTTTTGATAATTTTGAAATTAAAAAAAAAGACTTTTTGAAAAAAAACTTTTTTAAAAAATCAATATTGTTTTATATTTTCAAATATTTTGGAAATTTTGAACTTTTTTCAAAGCAATCGCGCTGAATATGGATAGAGACAAAATATCGAAGCGCGTAAGCGCAGCGTCGCAGTCTAACGGACAAACAATGTTACGGAGCCCGCAGAAATGTAGACAAAATTTATACTTGTTATTACAATCTCTATAAAATATCTGATAATTTGATGTGCATATGTCTAATAATGCTTTTTGACTTGATCTCCGAAACCGCTAGACCTGCCTTCCCAACAATTTAATCATTTCTTCATTTTGTTAACACAAGTTTTGTTACCTTCGAAACGGCTGGACCTGCCTTGTCCAAAAACTAATCAGCACGTCTCTTTATCAATACAAATTGAATGTTATTTGAATTATTTAAATCGGTTGATCCGTGTTCCCGAAATCGCCGACGAAAATTTGTATCCGCACACACACACACATATAGACATACACACTGTGTTTGTGTCACACACATACATCCATTTTTTAAAAAATATGCCAAATGCTCAGAAAACTTTAAAACGTAAAGATACGGAAAAAAATTTATTTTCGATTTTTTTGAGATTACTATAACTTACATTAAATTCATAAAATTTTACACAAAAATAAAATAATTATAAACAAATTTAGTTACATACTATCTAGTTCCGATCATTTAGTGTATTCTGTGTTTCCAAATTTTTGACTCTTTGTCAAATAGCATCTAATGTAGTTTGCGTTTTATTCTAAAGTTGTTAAGTGGATAAAGCATCTTCTGAATTCAAAATATGAAGCCGAAATTTGGATCATTTAAAAAAAATGATCCATAATTTCACTCATAGTGTTCACAAAATTATTTACAAGCACCACTAAAATATTTGCCCTTCTTCCCTATCATTATTATTTGAAAGACTAGTAGTTGGTCTATTTTTTCGGGATCTTCCACATTTAACTCATTTAAAATCGTTTTTTCCGCAAATTTTACGATTTTTCCCATATTTTAAAGAATCCCCGGGTTGAAATAAAAGAGTGCTAAACAAGGAAGCGTTAAGCGCGGTATCACTGTATTAATTTTCAAATTTATTTTATTATGGAAAATTTACCGTAAACATCTAATTTCATTTTCCATTTAATTCAAACTTATTTCAATTACAGCATATCAAAATTAAGTTATACGAGAAAATATTAAATAGATAAAGTAGATGACAATTCTTAACAGACTGTTGAATGATTTCCAAGACACCAAGTTTAAAGTCCCAGCAGTTTTCATTTGAAAATTTCAACTGATAAAATTTATATTTCAATATATTAGAACAAAAGCAAGATCTTTTCGAATAAAATGATGCCAATTGTTATTCAATAAATGTGTAGATTGTGAACTAATTATTTAATTTCACTGTTCATGTGATTCTAATAAATATGATTCTAATAAGATACTAAAACTCTTATCGGAACTACCCAATGTTGAGAAAATCCTATTGTATTCTTTTGATACAGACTTCGATTCTTATAAGATTTTAAAAGAAATATATTAGAATTAGTTAGTTTTAGTGTTATGATCTTATTTTTAAATTTTATTTAATAAGGTTTTCTTTATTAATCGGTTAGATTAGAAATAAAAAATATTTTTATTATATTACGATTATTACGGCATTTCGTGCATTTAATATTCATAATATATATATATATATATATATATATATATATATATATAATAATAATATATAATATAATACAATAATAATAATAATAACAATTTTGACAAGAGCCTGAAATAATATTTATTATTATTGATTACGGCTTGCTTATGAATAAATAAATAAATAAATAAATAAATAAATAAATAAATATTATTAATAAACATTAAGTAATAATGATGAATTTTTTATTTATGCAGCTATACCGAGGAAGTGCTATTCTTCTTTCAACGTATTGCTATCTATATATCGAAGTGAAAACCGATGTTCCTACTGCTTGACATCAGACTGCCCGGGGCGGGTATCAAAAATGAACCGTTTCATTGAAATCCTGTAGCTCTAATCACTAATTTACGAAGAAACTCAACAATCCATATATAAACAAATTACTTTTTACCTGATATGTATATATTATATTTTGCATAACTAATTTTTGTTAAAATAATTTGATTACATAGAAGAATGAACACAAAAAATAATATATTTCAATTTCCTTGAAAATTACAAATATAATTTCACAGCAATCGTAGTCATAGCAAAAATTCAAGTTTATTATTAAATAATAAAATATTAGTATTCTATATGTTGCAATCAGTTTCAGTACTTAAAACATCTCAAGGTAAAAAATTATTTTCAGAATAATTTTTCAACCAATCATATTTTTTCAATATAATTTCAAAAATAAATTTAGGAAATTAGAAGTGGCAATACAATAAAATAACTTAAGTATGTTTTTCTCCTTGAACATACAAACAAATCCATCGTTCAGCCCTCGTCAAGTACGCCCCCAATAGAAAATTTATGACAGTTGACAGACGGCAACAATGCAATATGAATGGGATCATATTTGTCGCCGGCATAATATTTGGCGAATGAATACATGTTTGTATTGAACATATTTATTAACAGACCTTATGAATTCTGAAGAGGTAAGTATATTTACACACCCATAAAATAGGTAATAAACCCTTTGTAGGAAAAAAATTGAACGGTGGAGAGATAGTTCTTACTTTGCTTTTCTATCTAATGATGATACTTGTAGTTATATAACAATGCAGAGATTGATATCTATATTATATTAGAAATACCATTCTGTCCAATGACAAATAATTATATTTTTTTTTTAATTTCCACCCAATTCCATCTGCCTAGAAAGCATTCAGCAATTATTATGACTAAAGTGTAGACTGTAGAGTAATATTTTAAAATACTACCCGGTAGTAGACATTTTCCATTTGTAATATATACACACAAAATAATTATAAATCTAAAATGTAAATTAACTATGCTAAATCTAATGGGTTTAATTTTCTTAATCTCCTAATAGTAATATAATTATAATTTAATATAAAGTATTTTTAGGGGAAAGTATATAATAAATAATTTTACTAAAAAGACTTAGTTAGCATTAGTCGATAGAAACTATTGAAAAACTAAAAATATGATATAGTACAAAATATATTGTGCATTTTATTTATATCCATATTAAATAAAATGCAGAGATGAAGACATATATTAGACGTAATATTCTATCTATTAGGGAAAATACGGACAAAATGGTATATATGGACAAAATGACAAAGAAGCCTTATTTAAAAACTGGACAGTTTTAATAACTTTTCCGCGACTGTATGACGTGAAGAAATCCATAATCAAATCCTGTCAGATATTGAGCGTCATTGTCACAGTCTTGTCGCAGTAAGGAGGCTGCCATTAATCACGTGATCGATTTTTTAGGAATTTTTGGATCCCCCTCCTCCTTGATGATACGTCGTGATATTTAGTATTACCCCCCTCCCCGACCAAACATCACGTGTATTTTTAGTTACATATAATTTTCCGTATAAATTTACGTAAAAAACGTATTTTTTTTTTATTTTTGAAAATGTAGGTAAAAGGTACATACACGTGATATCTTATTAGACCCCCCACGTATTTTTTTGTGATTTTTTGTCAACCCGCCCCTCAATGGACGCCCCTAATCAGTTCAAACGTGTATCACGACTTCAAAAGTTTATTGTGAGGATGGTTTTGTCGTATTTTTTTGAGACTTATATGTTACTTATAATTATTTTTATTAAAATCACCGAACTTACATTAGTACTAGTGATTTCGATAAATTTTATTGCAATAATCAGGTATTTGATAATTTTTTTTTTTCATTTTTGTCTCAGCCCTTCGAAAGCTGGTTACGAACTATGATTTGTTCCCTTTGGGATCATGGGTCATGCGCTGATGTCAAAAAATTTATCAAAGAATTTATTTGTGAAGTGTCTTCTTTAAAATTAGTATCTCAGTATGTCGTTATCTTATATGCTATTTTGTCCATACCATGTGAACAAAATAGTTATTGTAATTGATTGCATTTTTCCTTAATATATATGTTATCATACTTCATTAAAAGACTATGTTGCTGGTATTCAATAAATCTAAGATGAGTAAAAAGTAAACTATTGAGATTCATTATAATATTATTAAATAAATAAATATCATTAAGAAAACAAAACACCAAGTCATTTTGTCCATACTTCCCC